GATGGATGGATGGATGGATGGATAGATGGAGGGAGGAAGGGTTAGAAGGAGGATGGAGGGGTGAAGGACAGATGGTGGAGTGAGGGATGGAAGGATGGGTGGTTGGCGGATGGATGGATGGATGGATGGATGATGGATGATGGATGAAGACCATGGGGAGATTTTTTTTGGAGACAGTTTTATGTCCAGATGGGTGGAGGCGCAGATAAGGAGGTGGAGACAATTTGGGTGGAGGGGTTGGTGGGTGGATGAAGGAACGGATGGAGATCACATGGAGATAAGAGGAGACAGCGTGGATGAGTAGATGGATGGATGGATGGATGGATGGGTGGACGGACAGAAGAGGGAGGAAGGACACACGGGTGCAGGGAGGGTGTCTGGGCACGGGGCTGCCCTGACAGCCATGGGCAGGACTTCCTGTCGGACATGGCCATGACGGAGGTGGATCGCTTCATGGACCGGGAGCACCTCATCTTCCGGGAGAACACCCTCGCCACGAAAGCCATCGAGGAGTACCTGAAACTCATCGGCCAGAAATACCTCAAGGATGCCATTGGTGAGCGCCACCAGGCCCCAGCATGGCCAGGAGTCCCCCTGCATGGCCATGGCCCCATTGAGGTGGCCACGGGATGGTCGGGTGCTGCCTTCTCATGGCCGCGTCCCCCTCGCAGTGACTTGGCTGTGGGACGTTGGGGTCCCCTCTGATGTCCCCGGCCCCCTCTGCTTGTCCCCATGCAGGTGAGTTCATCCGAGCCCTGTACGAGTCAGAGGAGAACTGTGAGGTGGACCCCATGAAATGCTCAGCCTCCACCTTGGCCGACCACCAGGCCAACCTCCGCATGTGCTGCGAGCTGGCCCTCTGCAAGGTGGTCAACTCCCACTGGTGAGTCCCTGGGGCCGGGGGCACCCCTCGGTGGCCCCACCAGGGCTCCTCGACCATTGCGTGTGTCCCACCACCACCACCACCACCACGCAGCGTGTTCCCGCGGGAGCTGAAGGAGGTGTTCGCCTCGCGCCGAGCGGGGCCGTGAGGACATCGCCGACCGCTTGATCAGCGCCTCGCTCTTCTTGAGGTTCCTCTGTCCCGCCGTGATGTCCCCCAGCCTCTTCGGCCTCATGCAGGAGTACCCTGATGAGCAGACTGCCCGCACCCTCACCCTCATCGCCAAGGTCATCCAGAACCTGGCCAACTTCACCAAGTGAGAGCCTGGCCTGCAGGGTGGAGGGGGGATGGAGGTGGTGGTGGGTCCATAGGTCTATGGGTGGATGGAGCATAGATGGATGGGTGAGTGGATGATGGATGGGTGAGTGGATGATGGATGGATGGATGGGGGATGGGTGGGTGATGGGTGGGGGGAT